TATTATGTATATTAATTATTCTCGTCGAATTATCAAAAATTCTACTAATATTTTGATGGTCTTATGAAATAATTAAATCTATTAAACAGGATAATTAATTACATATCACATAATACATATAATAAATTAAAAGAAAAACAGTATTTTTTTTAAATGATATTCGCCTACTTAAATATGTTATTAAAACTGCACATTTTCGAACTTGTGCATAATCAAAATTAATTTGAGCAATAACAATTTATAAAATTTAATTTCTATTATTATACAAATAATGTCATGTTTTACAAATTATACATCTCACGAGATACTATCAGCTATATCATTTTATACGAAAGATGTATATACTTTATCATAAATTAACTTTATTATTAATCGCACGTCGATAAAATATTTTTCTCCTCACACTGAGAAACCCATTTAGTTGAATCAATTAATTTCTTGTTTGGATATAGGCAAACAAATCCTTGGTTAATGCAATAAAATAATTTAGTTGAAGCCAAACATTTGGTTATTGTAAACAACTTTATCAAATATCAATATTTCTCAGAAACAAGTGTAAAATGTTACAATAACCAAATACTTTGCTTCAACTAAATTATTTTATTGCATCGATTAATTTCTTGTTTGGATATGGGCAAACAAATCCTTGGTTGATTCAACTAAATGAGTGCAGTTATAGAATTGCTAAGTATATCGATAGTACATGAATAACTAAAAAGTATACGCGCGTTTCTGCCACGAGTTTTATAATATAAAAAGTACTAATTACTGTTTTCTATCATTACGAAAAACGTATAAATATTTATTATCACTACCACAGGATCTTCGCTACGAATAACGCGACGCTGTTGTGTTTAATGATCGCCAGGAAAGGATGATCGACGCGAAGTAATAAAGGCTCCACCGGTTCCCAAGTACCCGAAAGAGGTCTGACAGAGATACCTGTCAGAAGATCATTCTTTGTATCAATTATCCGTTTCAATAATCGGGTGCGCTCTTGGATGTCCAGAGCACGCGAGAAATATTCAGATAAGAGATATGACTGATTGAATATTAGTAATGCTAGGACTTGGTCAGAGCATAGAAACTGATTGAGAGTGCAAGAAAAGAAAAGAAAAATTTAGTAAAGATGCATCACTGATTACGATAGAATCAGCGAGTCGTAAGTCAAGCAATGAAAATCGTCCGTGTTTTATATAAATATACATATATTTTTTTTTAATGTTATTTATTTAAGATTTTTTATTAGAGTTTAATGTATATAAACTCTGCGTCCACATTATTTTCGCCAATTCTTTCATTGAATTAAACAAAGAAAATTCTATTTTGTCAGCTGTGACAGATGCATTTCGTTGTCAAATATATCGAATCGAGGAAAAGTGCAATCCATTTTGCTGTTGTAAAACTAACTTTCATTTTGGAGATTCATAGTCCGATTGACGGATATCATCATGATGAGAATCTCATTTATTATGCCTTCTCATGTGGTTATGAAGGTGGTTACGAAGAATTTTTCTCGAAAATTTTTTTCTTTTCCTTTTTCTTTTTTCTTATTAATAGTTTTAGTTAAGTTGGTATTAACATATTCTAATGAGATGATTAATTTTGTTTTCGCGTAATATCATAAACAGAGCCGTTATCGCAAAATATATTTTTATCGTCGTGAATCGTGAACTGCATAGTTCTTTGATACTATCGGCAGATGCGCATTCTAAGTTTGTTAAAGATGATTTAAAATTCGTTAATATAAAATCAACTTAAACTCCCCACAATTTTGAGCTTCTATTACTTCACCGTCCAATCACTCGTGCAATTTTATTTTTAGAAGTAAACTGCAGAAGTGCACAAAGTCTAATTTAAGCGTAATAATCTGTTTAAAGACTTCTAAACTTTAAATTTTGTGTTACCTAAAAAATCCCAATTGTTCCTTCGAAATAAATCTCAGAACATAGCATAGCTTGTAATAATAAATACGAATACAAGCTATGCAATCACCATAATACATTCATGTTAACTACAAGATTTAAGTTAAATGCGAGCACTGATCAAATATCAATAGTGACGCAACACTGAAACGCTCTATTTATTATAAAATTTGAAAATTTGATTACAAGTTTTTCCGAATATCATCGAAACAATAGATCATAAATATCAATTAGTTCGTCTTGTATATACGATTGTCATTGTGTGACAAAAATCATAATAGGTGCAACGTGAGTAACAGGTGCATAATCAAACAAACGTGCGGTTTAATTATTTTGCGGTGTGGTGTATAATAAAGCATTAATTAACAATGCAATAATATATTTGCAAAAGTAAAGATATAAAAGAAAGCAGAAAAAAAAATAGATAAGATGAAAAAACATAAAAAGAATACTGCGTAGAGAGCAAACCTGCTGAAATGTAAAAAGCATGTGAGCAACATTTAGCTATCACACTCAGCTTAAAATCACGGCAGCGTACAAAATTACATACATCTGTGCCGCGGAAACTCTGAGAGCGAAAAATTTGAAATTTTGCTACACGATTAACATAATATTAAAATAATGTTACATGCACAAACATAATCGAATAGTTTCCAAAAAATAATTTTTCAAAGTGTCTAAGAAGCGAAAAAGAATTTCAATGTATCCCAAATAAAATTAGACGAAATATCATCTTGCTCTTGATGTGAAATTAATATTACTTATAGTTATTATTATTTTTCTCTTGTATTCTATCTAGACTATAAATAGTTAAATATTATGTGCATTCTATCTAGACTTCTATCTATAAATAGTTAAATATTATAATCTTCTTTCAAAGTTATAAATAACCCAGCAAATACATTAATTAACAATAGTACAGCTGTTAGTTATTTCTCACTTAACAATAACTGTAACGTATAACAGTTACATAATACGTAGATAAACATAGATGGTAAAAAATGAGGCAAAAATATAAAGTATATAAAAGAAATTATTTGACTTACATATTTTTCTCTATTTAAAGATCGAAACTTCAAGATAATATTTCGCCCGTTTTCAGCCATAAACAAATGCAAGAAACAAAACAAGGTATACTTACCAGTGACGGCGGCTGCCTCGCTACCTTCCTCATTAACTTCGATGAAAGCTTTTTGCACGACTTTGTCGATCTTCAAAGGTACATCCGAAATGCCATTAAAGTTAGCTTTACTGCTGAATGCCTCACTAAGACCCATCTGCAGCAAGTAAGACCGCAAGTTAGATACGATATTGTATTTATTTTATTATCGATTACCAACGGAACATTACGACGTACCTTATTGGACAATGTATCCTTGAGATCCAACTTGGTCTCACTCCTGAATCTGGGCAGATATACTCGGACTTCACGTTCGTATATTTGGGTGAGGCGAGAGCTGCATTCCGCGCTAACTTCCTCGAGTTTGTCGGTCAACGCAGCTAGACCGTCAATTTTATTGGGTAGAATGATTACCATACTGACTTCTTCATTCTGCGATAATAAAATTTACACTCATAAAAAAAGATTCGCGAAATACTTCATTGTTTTTCACCACAACTGTGAAACACACATTTGTGAAAAGCAATAATCTTATTATACATTTGACTAAATATTGTTTTTAATTTATGAAAGTAATATTACCGCATATGGTAATTCGATGCATTTAGCATCGTATTCCGGCAATTCGACATATTTATAGTTGCCCTTTCTGTACATAGTTGGAACATCTTTCACGGTGTTGGCATCAATATGGAACGGACGGTCCGTGGTAAGCTTAGGATCGAACTGATGTGCCCATAGGCCCTTAAAATACACCGCGTTTGCGAGCACCAGTGCAGTACTATCATCCACATCGCCTATAATCGATAATATAAATTATAAGCATACTTTCAATTGCTGGTTCAAATCAATACATTTTTATATATAATTATGAAAATATAAGGATATAAATCTACAGATAATGAAAATAATATTTAGCACTTTGGTGAGTTACATTTTTTACGAAACAATTGCTCTAAATTTATGTTAAATTCTTTATATAAATGAAGAAAATAAGAAAATTTTATTTTCTCTCAATTGTCGTAGAATTTCACAAATAAATGCCTACCTTCATTAATGATGCTCTTGATGCGATCATTTGTTTGTTCTTTGCACCAGGTATTAATGGTGTTCACAGCTTCTTGGCTTTTACTGAAGTCTACTGATTGAATGTCAGATTTATAATATGTCTGGAGATCCTGTTTGTATTCAGGTTTTACTGGGAAGTCTTTGCCGACAAACATCTTATTAGCGAGCTTCAAAGTAACATTCTCAACGTTCTGCAAGAATAGTATCCCATTATTTCGATTAGCATTATTTGTCAATAAAGTGTCATAAAATATTACAAGATATAACTAAATTAATTCGGTAAATAATTGTGTCACAATTTAGAAATGCTATAAATTTGATTAATAATTCCTAAAATGTTAACATTTTATAAATTAATATTATTCTAATTTTATTAAATTTTGAAGATTTAAATAGCACGTAAAGATACATAATTAGTAAAACGTAAGCAATAAACAAATTAACATTTTTTATTTGCTATTGTCTACATACATTATTGCCTTACGTTTTCGACTATGATTGACCGGTTCACTTATTGCTTTATGTTTTACTGTGTTTATATTTTTCTATGTGTTACATAGTTTCACATTCTGTAAGTGGCGTACAACTATTACGTTTCACAATACATTGTAATTTAATAATTACATTCAATTTGTCGATGAGATTCTGATAGCCTTCTAGAGTTTGTGGTTTTGAAGCTGGAAGCTTGAGAACATCTTTAAACTGCGCCTCGGTACTTCCGGCAGCTCCATCAGCTGCCATGCTCAAGGCGATGTGGGCACTCAGGGGAGAACATATTAAATTGTCTGATTGTCCTTCTGAAACGGTCTAAAAAAAAGTTATCCACTATAAACACTTTTTCATTTTATAATTAACAGTATGAAAATCCTATTACGCATATCAGAAAATTAATCAAATGAAGAAAATCAGGCATTTCTTTTTCGATTATTTCACAATCAGTAAGTTACTGACTTATTATTTAATGTATTAAAATTAGTCATATGAGGAGCAGACTTCCAAAATGCATTTTGTAAAAAATTTTATTTTTTTAGTTAGAGATAGCATAGTGTTTAAAGATGTGTTGAAAGATTCATATTTTAAGCTACTCTACGATGTTCTGAAAGCATTTTTTCATCCATCAATTTATGTGCTGAAAAAAGTCTAGACATTCGAAGTGTATTATGTCCTTTAACTAGAGACAAGCAAAATGCATTTGTTTAACATTATTGGAAATAGTTTAGCAATTTTGTTTTACATCTTACTAATTGATAAATTGTTATTTTCTGTAAGGCCCGCGGTTTCTTTGAGGCTTTTTTCCTATTTTCTAAAAATTTCTATTTGTTCCTGTAATCACATCTCTCAGCATTAAATGAAATGTATAAGATTGCTACGAAATTCATGCACCTCACTTAGGATCTTTCAATTCTTTAGTGGCTGCTATTGATGCATGAGTGATGTCTCATATTTTTGAAGAACTGTATTAACGCTGATGATGACTCTAAAAAGAATCGAAACGTTCGTTTTTATAGAAATACATGCAATTAATTACTGCACTGATTAATTATTTGATCGCGCTCCAACAACTGCGTTACACTCTCATTTGTCCGATTTCTCAGGATTTTTTATTATTTGAGAGTCATAAGGAAATTAAATATAATATTTCCGTTATTAAGTTTTCAAAAAATTTTGGACAAAGCGTATTTTAAAAATTTGCTCTTCATATAGATTCCGCCAAAGCTATTCTCATAATTATTTATAAGTTATATAACCGTATAATTAAATTAATATATATGAAAGTTCTGTACAATATCGAATATTAATAGAACTTTAAAAATATTTAAATTCAATGAATATACCTTGACGAAGTTGGCGGAGAACAAATGGGCGCTTTGAGAAACAGCCTGAACAGCTAAATTATTTTCAACTGCCGCGGCCATGGTTGATGCAAATAGGCAAAACGCCAAAAAACTTCTTTGTACTGTAATAACAAAAAATCAATAGTAAATTTATTACAAAATTCTACGTATATGCGAATCATACAGTCGAAATGCTTAACAAAAAAGAAAATATAATATTATGGTTTTTACTAGTTCAATAATTTGAATATTAATAATAATATAAACTTTTAAATACTTTTACGCTTATACATGCAATTGTCCTTAAATGAATTAAACAATGTCAATTTTCTCTTCTAGTCCGATATTTTAATATGATAACATTTAATATGATAACATTTAAGATATACAATATAACATTGCAAAGATCATCGCTTTGAATATTACAGGATTACTATCGAAAATTGAACACTTGCGTTCGAAGGTTGCATACAAATCGAAATAAAGTGTCAGATACACATATGTCGTCCAAGGTGAACGTGAAACTACCACATTGTTACAATCTTATATGCACATATTATATTTACGTATTATGTACTTATTCAATAGAATCTTTCAATTTTCAAGAAGCGATATAAAGATTACAACGCTTTGAATATTGCAATATTACACTTTTAAAGTAAATAATAAAGCGAAGATTTTATGAATTAAAATTTATCGAAAAAAAAACTAACTTAAGAACTTAAAAAACATAAAAAAATTTTTAAACGATTGTAGTTATTTTAGCGGCACAAGGTATATAAAATGACATAAATATTTAAAAATTAATTTGATCATCAAAAAAGAATACATATTTCTGTAATACTGATTTACTATATACTTGCCGTTTATATCAATTTAAAAAATTTAATGAAATTATTTAGTTAAATATTTTGCATATATTTCAATAACTTTAAG